TGTGCTTCCAGTGGAGGAGGGGAGAGGCCCTTAGAAAGGGCAGGAGGGCAAGTGGGCCCAGCATTGGTGACCTCTGGGGTGGGCTAAGGTTTGTCTGGGCCTTTGCTTCTATGGAAGTCATTTTCCTTGCTGTTCCTGAAGAATGGGTAAGGCAGAGCTTGTCTGTAGAGCCTTGAGGGAGAAGTAGATACTGCAGGGAAGGGTTTGGGATGATGTGTGCCTGTTTCCCAAGGTTGTGATTAATGGCTTTAGTGAGAAGCCCTTTGTGTGTTTCCGAAAGCAGTTTGAAGATCATGTCTGTCAGGTTTAAATCAGGAATATTGTAACCAAGGAAAGAAGCACACTGCCTGGCAGTTGGTATCTACTGACCTGTGGCCAAAACAGTGTGCTTCCTCAAGTGATAGGGAAAGCAAATTGACTGACCCGGTGTTGGGATGGGGTTAGAGACCAAAGTCAAATAGAAGCAAGAGCTTGGTTGGAGTAAAAGGTGTGATTTCTTTCCATTTTTGGTTGAAGACATGCTCTGTGGTTATCCCTAAAAACCCTCAAGTGAAAAGATTGGTGGTGGAGGAAGAGTTTAGGTTTTCCTCTGGGTGGATGGAGAGAGATGTAGAGAATGTGGGTACACTGTTCAGTTTTGGGAGGAATTAGGTAAATTTGAAACCTTGCATACTATAAGCATGTGCTATTAAGAACATTTTACATTTGAAGGAGAATGATAAAGCCATGTGTTAGTTTACAACAGTGACAGGAGAGTAATGCCCTGTGTGGTCACTGTTTTATGGGAGTTTGCAGAACCCTGTGAACAAGTCCATCAACTAACTTTCTTTCTTTGTTCATTCGTTCCTTCTTTCCTTCCCTTCTTTCCTTTCTTCCTTCCTTCCCCCCCTCTTTTTTTTTTTTTTTTTTTTTTTTTTTTGAGACAGAGTTTCTCTGTTTAACAGTCCTGGAACTCTGTAGACCACACTGGCCTGGAACTCACAGAGATCTGCCTGCCTCTCCCTCCTGAGTGCTGGGATCAAAGGCGTGTGCCATCAATGCCCGGCTAAACTTTTCTTTCTTTAAACACCACAGTTACAGTTTATAGCAGTCACTGATTTTCATTCAGGGGAATGTCAGTTTTTTCATTATGTGGTAAATCTGACATGTCTCCTTTATATTCCATTTATTTTTGTGTGTGGGTGCTCTTTTGGGCACACGTGGAAGTCAGAGGACAACCTTGTAGATGCTAATTTTCTTCTGGTGCCATGTTGGCTCAGGGACCCAAACTCAGTGGTCAGGCTTGGTAGCAGTTTCTTTTATCCACTGAGGCCTTGTTCATGTTTATATTAAGGTAGAACTATGGCTGGATCTAAGCCTGCATCTTTATTTACTCGACTAGTCGGATTTCGATTTAGTGGTGGAATGTTCTGAGTCTTGTAACCTTGACTTTTGCTTTTGCCTGCCCTCCTCTCCCTTTCTTTTTGCTTCTTTCCTTCCTTTCTTTGATTTATTTATTTATTTTTGAGGTAGGGTCTTGCTATGTAACTCTGGTGGACTGGAGCTCACAGAGATCACTTGTTTCTGCCTCTCCAGTTTGGGGAGTGAGTGAATGGCATTATTTGTTTTGAGTCTGGGTCTCTTAAGCTAGGCTGGCCTGATCTCGCTGACTTTGCTGTCTTTACTGACAGAGTGGCAGGATTATAAGTGAGTTCCATCATGCTCCACAAACACTTTCTAGTTGGAAAGTGCATAAAGCAACTTTTATTACAGATAAAATAGTTTTTTTTAATTGAACAGCTTTTTATTGTAAAATATAATAAGCATGATTAAGGGGTAAATAGGTTTTTTGAAGTTTTTCTTTTGGAAATTTTCCTGTAATTCCAAAGGCTTTAGTAGGAGAAGAAATGTGTTGTGTTGTCTTTTTAAAAATGTAAACTGGCCTACCATTTTCCCCCTGGCATTATATATTAAGCACACTGCTATTAGTAAATTATGGGTATTTATAAATAAATGACTTGTGTGTGTGTGTGTGTGTGTGTGTGTGTGAGTGACAGGGTTTCATCCCCCTGCCTCTGCCTCCTGAGTGCTGGGATGATTCCCAAGTACATGTGACACCATGTCCAGCCGGATAATTGGACTTTTTAAGGAAGGCATATGATCTTCCTTAAAAAGGAACACACCCATAAGCATACATATGCAAATAAATGTAACAAAAGTTAAAAAGGCAGAGATTCATTTTTTAAATGACTTTTAAGCAAGAGACTTGGTTGTTTAGGTTGTAATGCTTAGGTGTGTGGAAAGTGAAGGAAACGGAGAAGGGGGCTTCCTCTTTGTATTCAGGGTATCAAGAAGGTCCCCTTTGTGCCGGTAGGTCATTTGCTTTTGCCTTCCAGAATATAGGAGGGGTCAGGGTGATGGGGAGAGTGATTGGGTGTGAAAGACATTTCTATCAACCAAAAAAGAGGTGTGAAGTTACAGAGTGGCATTTATTACATTAGTTATACAACCCAGAGAGGTGAGCCAGCCTGCCACAGGGCTCTCGGGTTTCAGGTGGCGACGGACTGCCCATTGTACTTGCTTTGCCTTTTTAGCCGGTGGTAACTAAGCTTTAAATCTGCAAAATGCAAGAGAAGAGGGTGAACTATATGAAGGGAGAGTAGGGTATGGGGACAAGGAGCTGGGCGTGGCTGCTTCCTGTGAGACCAGACCTTCTTGTCTCCTCCCCCCCATGTGTGTTGTGGCAGGCCCAGCCCTGGGTAAGGCTGTCAGACCTTAACTGTGCTTGAGTTTAGTATACAGGGAAGCATGGGGAACGTGGGGGCAATAAGCTATTGATGAGTAGATGATGTAGGCCTGTGAAGTGGGTCCCTTAGGTGTATCAGGAGAAGGTAATGATGGACAGATTTGATTCTTTAAAAGATGCCTAAGAACACCTGCCACAGTACTTGTGAGCACCTGTCCATTGCTCGTTTGATTTCTTATGGTGACCTTTCATTGTTTCTTGTCGTTTTCTGTCCTGGGCCTGTCACCCAGTGAGTAATTGAATTATCTCCTGCTTTTGTTGTTTCTGATGGACAATGTGCAACTGTGATGTCTTTTGATGGCATCATTAAAGAAAGGGTGAGACACAAATCTCATGTTCCTGTGGAGAAAGTGAGATCCTTAGCTACCACTGCGGTTGACTACAGCTCGAGTCCTAGCTTGTGTTCTTTTAAAGATCTGCCTTTCGACTATGGTGCTGGGTGAAAGGGGTGGTTTATGATTCTTTTTTTTTTTTTTTTTTTGTGGTGCTGGATGGGTATTAATCCTAGCATGCTGCCCGTGAACCTCAGCCTGATTCCATGCACTGAGCTTTCAAAAAGTGGAGACCTAAAATATGGAGCCATCTGGTTAGTGGAGCTTCATTATGGGTGTTCAGTTCCCAGCAGCAATGTGATGCTTGGGGATAAGGGGTAGTGACATTCAGGGGCTGTACTCAAGTGGGGGGATTCTTTTATATGGCCATACTAGCCAGCAGATTTTTTTTGTAGCCCCCATTTTGCAGTTTGATTGCTCAGTGCTATTTAGAGCATTCAGAAAAAGAAAGTCACAACTATAGGCTTTGCTCCTGTGGTTGACTTCTCAGAGACATTTTAATGTCAGGCTTATCACTCTTTGAATGTTTCTGTTTCTTGGGTGCAGCCTTTGTGTTGGAGATAATGTGATGCTGGGGATATGTCATTCTTTGTCTGGTCCAGCAGTAAAAATATAGTGACCATAGTTTGCCTCAAGGTAAGGAGATCATTAGGAGAAAAGTCCCTGCAACTTTCCCAGCTGTGTGTGTAACTGAGATGGTTTATGCTTCTGCACCCGTTGAACTTGAATTTGTCACTTCCTCAACAGAGGATTTCCCTGAAGCCTTAGTGGCATTTAGATCTGTCCCTGGAGTGGCAATATGCTGAGAGTCTTTTGAGCTGTGGCATATCTGAGGCTTATGGTTTTCCTAGATGTCCACTGTCATCTGTGTTGCATTTTACCTTGACCCCAAGATTGTTGCTCTCCTCAGGTATGCTTGACCTTTTACAGAGTGTGTAAGAAAACTGTTAAGTACTTGAGTAAAATGTGGAAGACAGCCTCTCGGAGACCAGCAGGGCAGATGTAAAAGAGGAGCAGCATAGAGAGTGAAGAGTCCAGGGGTGTTTGCCTACAAGTCCTCTAGGCCGATTGCCCATTTCAGATTTCCAGATCAGCCTCAGCCCTGTTCCCTTCAGACTCCCTTCTTCCTGCTTCCGTTTTCTCCTTTCTGTTTTCCTTCTCTTCTTGGCTGCTTGCCCTTACTGCTGAAGGAAGGACCAAGTCCAAAGACTCTGTTTTTTCCCTGGGTCCAGAGCTAGTGAGTGGCAGAGTGGAGGCCGGGCACTCACTCTGTTACAGATCTTATCTTTGGCTCCTGATGTATGACTTGTTCATTCTTTAGCATTTATGATGTAAAGATGAGTGACACATTGCCTGTCCTTAGGAAGATAGATGACAGGAGGCAAGTGTACACACAGTGGATATGATATACCAGCACATAACAGAGCTCTAAGGTGGAACTGTCCAGGTTCAGAGATGGGGGTGCCTTCCATCCTCACTCTCTTTTTCCTCTGCCAATGGTGTTTCCTAAAGAAAGATCCCAGCACTGCATGTGTTTGCATCGCTTCTGTCTCTGTAATGGCTTGACTTATTTTTTTCCCCCTAAAACTACCTGTCCTACTCCTTTTCAATGTTTCTTTTTCAACACAGCAGGGAAAGCTAGAATTAAAAATGGATGTGATTACTTCCTTAGAGAGTAAGAAGAAAATAAATCCCAGGTGAATGTAGTGAACACCTTGTGGTAGGTTTATATGGTCCTTTCATTCTTCTGTGGATGAAATTTGAAATCTGCAGTTGTTTTTATTGTAATCTTCCGTTAGTGTAGCATCTCAAAGCTGATGGTGGCTGAAATGATCATTATCAGTGTCAATTGCTGATGGAATTCTTTTTCCTTCCTTTAACAGAACATCTGATCAAATTCATGACCATGGGGGATATGAAGACCCCAGACTTTGATGACCTCTTGGCAGCATTTGATATACCAGATATGGTCGATCCCAAAGCAGCGATTGAGTCTGGACACGAGGACCATGAAAGCCACATCAAGCAGAATGCTCATGTGGATGACGACTCTCATACTCCATCATCCTCAGATGTTGGCGTCAGTGTCATTGTGAAGAATGTTCGGAACATCGATTCCTCTGAGGGAGCTGAAAAAGACAGCCACAACTCCACAGGCAATGGCTTGCATAACGGGTTTCTCACAGCATCCTCTCTTGACAGCTATGGTAAGGATGGCACAAAGCCCATAAAAGGAGACACACCTACCTCAGAGGTGACTCTTAAAGACCCAGCATTCAGCCAGTTCAGCCCCATCTCCAGTGCTGAAGAGTTTGATGACGATGAGAAGATAGAGGTGGATGAGCCTCCTGATAAGGAAGATACACGGTCAGGTTTCAGATCAAATGTATTAACTGGCTCAGCTCCCCAGCAGGACTATGACAAGCTAAAGTCACTCGGAGGGGAAAACACAAGCAAGACTGGAATCTCTACATCAGGCCATGTAGAGAAGAGCAAAGTCAAGCGAGAGACAGAAACAAATTCCATAACCCTGAGTGTTTATGAGCCTTTTAAGGTTAGGAAAGCAGAGGACAAGTTGAAGGAGAACTCTGAGAAGATGCTTGAGAACAGGGTCCTTGATGGCAAACTGAGCTCTGAGAAGAGTGACACCAGCCTTGCCACCATCACATCTTCCAAAGCAAAGTCGTCCTCTAAGCTCTCTTCGTGCATAGCTGCCATCGCAGCCCTGAGTGCTAAGAAAGCTGCTTCAGACTCCTGCAAAGAAGTTGTGGCTAATTCAAGGGAAGCTTCTCCATTACCAAAGGAAGTGAATGACAGTCCCAAAGCTGCCGACAAGTCTCCTGAGTCTCAGAATCTCATTGATGGCACCAAGAAGGCCTCCCTGAAGCCATC